GCAGCAAAAAGAAGGCACCTGGGGAGGCAGAAGCAGAAGTGGTCTGACCCAGCAGGGACCTCTACAGGCTCTTGGGGTAGAGGTGTGATAGTGCCAGGAATAGTTGGCAAGTGCAGCTTCGCAGGTATGACACCTGAGGTGCCCCCACAGAGTTCCTTAAGTAAGTGTATTTCTTCACCAGAGGAAGCTGATAGAGATGAAGAGTGAAAGAGATGGGAGGTGGATTTCACTTCCTTCCCATATAATACAGGATACATTTTAAGATGTCAAGCCAGTCTCCCTTCCAAAAAACCAAAAACAAAATACCCTATTAAATATCTCTAGCAGCCAGACTCTTCTACATGGTAATGACAGAGGTAAATGTTGCAGTGTGTTTGTTAAAATCATTACATTTGAGACTGGGTCTATCTTCTCAGCCTGCTGAAAGCCAGGTCAGCTGGCTCTGCTGGGACTTGGACAGGCAGCAGAACAAAAAGAAGTAAATTAAGGTTGTAATACAAAAAATGAAGTAATGCTACCCATGGTTGGCTAAGTTATGTGCACAGTGTCATTCATCATTGCTAGTGTTGTGTCATCTGAACTTGAATTAGGAGGGCAAAAGTCTCCCCCTGTTTTCCCCTCCTGCCAGAGGATTAGGGTATTTAGAACAAAGCCTCCCTGCGTGGCTGCAGGCTATGGTACTGAAGACCTTTAGTTTTTTAGTGGTCACAAAACATTGAGTTGGGTACAGGAGTCTGACATTGTACCACTTGTTTTCAATTTCCAAGACAACTTAATAGTAAAATCACAGAATGTGTGGGGTTGGGAAGTACCTTTAAAGGTCTTCTAGTCCAGCCCCCCCTCAGTGCACAGAGACCTTTTTAACTCGATCAGGTTGCTCAGAGCCTCCTCAAGCCTGACCTTGAATGTCTCCAGGGATGAGGCCTCCACCACCTCCTTGGGCAGCCTGTTCCAGTGCTTCACCACCCTCATTGTGAAGAACTTCTTCCTAATGTCTAATCTAAATCTACCCTGCTCTAGTTTAAGACCATTGCCCCTCAAGTCCTATTATTACACACCTGGGTAAGCAGTCCCTCCCCAGCCTTCCTTAACCCCTTCAGGTACTGGAAGGCTGCTATGAGGTCTCCTGGAGCCTTCTCCTCTCCAGGCTGAACACCCCCAGCTCTCTCAGCCTGTCTTCATAGCAGAGCTGCTCCAGCCCTCCGGTGATTTCTGTTGCCCTTCTCTAGATTCATTCCAACAGCTCCTTGTCCCTCCTGTGCTGAGGGCTCCAGAGCTGCTTGCCCTGCTGGTGTTGGCAACCAGCTCTGACCCTGTTCTGTCATCCAGGCAGATGTTTCACTGGTTCTTGGAGGTTGGTTTTTGCTGTTTTCAGCACTGCTGGTAGCGTAGCCATCAAAATAGAGCTGGAAATAAAATGCTCTAAATCCTGCAATATCAGAATTAGGTGTGATAAGGTATGGGCAACTTTCCTGGCAGAATTACCTGGGTTCGTCTGTTCTAAATATTTATGATGTTCATCATCAAACACAACTTTCAGTGTACTGGAGCTATCAGTATTACTCAGGTGGCACTTCAGAGCTTGCTTGGTGAGGCATGACAAGGTAGAGAATTAAAGAAACCAGTCCAAAGAGCAGGAATTTTTGTCTGAGCTGGCATAGCCTTTGCCAGTGGGGTTTGTTTCATTTTTACTTACATTTTTGTGTATGTTCTTCTATGTGTGTGGATTATTCTTGCTTTCTAAATGAGGATGTATTATTTTGGGGGGGAGCAGGAATAAATGGAGGCAAGGGAAAGACTGGCAGCAAAAAGAAGGCACCTGGGGAGGCAGAAGCAGAAGTGGTCTGACCCAGCAGGGACCTCTACAGGCTCTTGGGGTAGAGGTGTGATAGTGCCAGGAATAGTTGGCAAGTGCAGCTTCGCAGGTATGACACCTGAGGTGCCCCCACAGAGTTCCTTAAGTAAGTGTATTTCTTCACCAGAGGAAGCTGATAGAGATGAAGAGTGAAAGAGATGGGAGGTGGATTTCACTTCCTTCCCATATAATACAGGATACATTTTAAGATGTCAAGCCAGTCTCCCTTCCAAAAAACCAAAAACAAAATACCCTATTAAATATCTCTAGCAGCCAGACTCTTCTACATGGTAATGACAGAGGTAAATGTTGCAGTGTGTTTGTTAAAATCATTACATTTGAGACTGGGTCTATCTTCTCAGCCTGCTGAAAGCCAGGTCAGCTGGCTCTGCTGGGACTTGGACAGGCAGCAGAACAAAAAGAAGTAAATTAAGGTTGTAATACAAAAAATGAAGTAATGCTACCCATGGTTGGCTAAGTTATGTGCACAGTGTCATTCATCATTGCTAGTGTTGTGTCATCTGAACTTGAATTAGGAGGGCAAAAGTCTCCCCCTGTTTTCCCCTCCTGCCGGAGGATTAGGGTATTTAGAACAAAGCCTCCCTGCGTGGCTGCAGGCTATGGTACTGAAGACCTTTAGTTTTTTAGTGGTCACAAAACATTGAGTTGGGTACAGGAGTCTGACATTGTACCACTTGTTTTCAATTTCCAAGACAACTTAATAGTAAAATCACAGAATGTGTGGGGTTGGGAAGTACCTTTAAAGGTCTTCTAGTCCAGCCCCCCCTCAGTGCACAGAGACCTTTTTAACTCGATCAGGTTGCTCAGAGCCTCCTCAAGCCTGACCTTGAATGTCTCCAGGGATGAGGCCTCCACCACCTCCTTGGGCAGCCTGTTCCAGTGCTTCACCACCCTCATTGTGAAGAACTTCTTCCTAATGTCTAATCTAAATCTACCCTGCTCTAGTTTAAGACCATTGCCCCTCAAGTCCTATTATTACACACCTGGGTAAGCAGTCCCTCCCCAGCCTTCCTTAACCCCTTCAGGTACTGGAAGGCTGCTATGAGGTCTCCTGGAGCCTTCTCCTCTCCAGGCTGAACACCCCCAGCTCTCTCAGCCTGTCTTCATAGCAGAGCTGCTCCAGCCCTCCAGTGATTTCTGTTGCCCTTCTCTAGATTCATTCCAACAGCTCCTTGTCCCTCCTGTGCTGAGGGCTCCAGAGCTGTTCACAGCCCTGCAGGTGGGGTCTGACCAGAGCAGAGCAGAGGGGCAGAATCACCTCCCTTGGAGCAATTTGCACCTGTATCTCCAGGCTGTGGGTGGAATGTCAAAGCCCTGAAGATGCTCTTGAAGCTGAAGCCTTATCAGCATTGGGATATCATGTCCTGTGGTTGGTATACGTTTTGGACCCAACAGCTTGTGCCTCAGAAAAATAAGGTCACAGCTAAGAGAAGAGGTCCACTGGGGCAAGCAGGGAGCTTACGGGTTCACAGTGTCACTTGTGAGCTTCTGCCCCCCCCAGCAGGGCTTGTGCTCAGGGTCAAAATACCTGTACCATGGGTGAGGCACCCAGTCACGCCACAGACCTCAGGGGCTTCCTTTAGTGTTCCTCCATTAAAATACCAGCCTGACTGCTGGAAGTGCCGAGCTAGTTCTATTCAAAGCCCTGACATTGACCCCAGCATGGGTACACACCTTGTCCGTCTGCTTCCCTTTGAATTTTATTTAAATAATATAATTATTTCTTACTCTGTGGATAGATCCTGGTTTGATGGGAGTTAGAGGAGGGAGTTGTAAATTCTGTGAAATTAAAAATGTGACGCAATACTGCAAACCCCATCTGGGCAGCGTTGCGTGTGATGGAGCCTATGATTGGGAAGCTCCACCATCCAGCCGTTGAGGAAGGAGAGATTTCTCTGTCCCTGCATGAAAACCTCAATAATTGAAGTGGATGTTCATAGAATTGTAGCTGGCAGTGGTTCCAGCAGCCCCAAGACTGGAGCAGCCCCCCCACTGTCCTTGCTGCTCTCCCCTGATTTGGCCGCCATCACCGCCCTGGAAAATCTCTTTAGTGCTAGAATTCTTAAAACTTAAGGATAGCTGCAAGAATGTAGGGTTTGCAGGATTTGGACTTTTTGCAAGATTTTTTCTTTTGCAAGATTTGTGGGTATTCTTTGCAGGATTCCCTCCCATCCCTCAGAATTTGGGGTTATTTTTCGCAAGATCTGGGGTGGGGTTTTTCCGTAGAATCATAGAGTTGTTTTGATTGGAAAAGACCTTTAAGATCATCAAGTCCAGCTGGTAACGTAGCACTGGCAAGACCATGAACCCATGTCCCTACATTTTTGGGGGTTTTTGCAATATTTGGGTTTTTTTCAGAGCGTTTTGTGTGGCGTCCAGTTCTCATCTCTTCAGTGATGCCTCCTGCCTCCATAAATAGTGAGGGGATATTCAGGGAGCTTCCCCTTCTATAGACCTGTTGGAGAGGGTCCAGAGAAGGGCCACCAATATGATCCTTGGGCTGGAGCAGCTCTGCTATGAGGACAGGCTGAGAGAGTTGGGGTGTTCAGCCTGGAGAAGACAAGGCTCCAGGGAGACCTTAGAGCAGCTTCCAGTGCCTGAAGGGGCTCCAGGAAAGCTGGGGAGGGGCTTTTCATCAGCGAAGACAGTGATAGGACAAGGGGTAACGGTTTTAAACTGAGAGAGGGGAGATTTAGGTGAGATATTAGGAAGAAATTCTTCACTCTAAGGGTGGTGAGAATGGTTGCCCAGGGAAGTTGTTGATGCCCCCTCCCTAGGGGTTTTTAAGGCCAGGATGGACAAAGTTTTGTGCAACCTGGTCTAGTGTTGGGGTTCCCTGCTCATGGCAGGGGGGTTGGAACTTGATGATCTTTAAGGTCCCTTCCAACCTTGATGATTCTATGATTCTCTGCTAGTAACTTTTGTTACTAATTTCCAATTTTTATGTTGCTTAATAAAGAAAAAAATAGACATAAAAAAAGAAATACACAAAAGAAATAGACAGAAGCCATTCCCAAGTGCCAGAGGAGGAGGCAGTCCTGGTCCCGGCCCAGGTGAGCATGTCCACATGCAGGCAGGGAAGGAGGAGCTAACTGCCACGCTGTCTGTATTTTTCTCTCCGTAGGTTAATTCGGTGAGAAGGGGACTGGGGACAAAGGTTGTTGTCCCAACACCACGCCCCGTGCCCGCCGCACGAGCTGCTGGAGCCTCGCCATCCCTGCCGGTGCCCAGGCCTGCCCTGGGCACGGTGCCACCCTACGTGATGCCCCTCTGTCCCTACAGGGGGGTGGTCCCCGTGCCCGCTTACGGGGTGCGCTGGCAGCAGCAGCAGTGGGGAGCCGCGCAGCCCCCGTTCCCTTCCAACCTTGATGATTCTATGATTCTCTGCTAGTAACTTTTGTTACTAATTTCCAATTTTTATGTTGCTTAATAAAGAAAAAAATAGACATAAAAAAAGAAATACACAAAAGAAATAGACAGAAGCCATTCCCAAGTGCCAGAGGAGGAGGCAGTCCTGGTCCCGGCCCAGGTGAGCATGTCCACATGCAGGCAGGGAAGGAGGAGCTAACTGCCACGCTGTCTGTATTTTTCTCTCCGTAGGTTAATTCGGTGAGAAGGGGACTGGGGACAAAGGTTGTTGTCCCAACACCACGCCCCGTGCCCGCCGCACGAGCTGCTGGAGCCTCGCCATCCCTGCCGGTGCCCAGGCCTGCCCTGGGCACGGTGCCACCCTACGTGATGCCCCTCTGTCCCTACAGGGGGGTGGTCCCCGTGCCCGCTTACGGGGTGCGCTGGCAGCAGCAGCAGTGGGGAGCCGCGCAGCCCCAGTTCCTGGGCAGCGCCGGCATCGCCCGCTTCTCGCCGCTGGGCAGCACCTGCCTGCGGCTCTACCCCGTGCCGCTGCAGCCCCCCGCCCGGCTGCCCTGCCGCAGGTAACCGCCTGCTGGGGGCACCTGCCGTAGGGAACCAACCACCTGCTGGGCGGGAGGTGCTGTGGCCGTGGGGCGAGGCAGGATCCACCACATCCAGCACTGGCTGTGGCCTGGGCTCTCCGGAGAGCTTGCTTGTCCTTGGCAATATTTGCTTCTCTTTCATCGCTGAAGACACGTTATTCTGTTGTGTTCTGGTGTTTTACACTTAGTCAATGTACTTGAATTGATGACTAGAAAATTGTACTAACCCTGCAGGAGTACAGTGCCTTGAAATTCAGCTTTTCAGTTCCAGCTGGAAAGAGATGTAAAATTATTTGAAAGGTGTATTTTATTTACAGTCTGCTTGTGAGTTGAAATTCTTTTTATTTGCAAAGATATTGAAGGTTTACAGTTGATGTTCTTTATTACTCCCATTCTGCTGTAAATGCTTTTATTTTAATCCATGGGTGGAATTCTTGTTTCTGAAGCTTTTGAAAAAATAACAATTGTGCAGTGAGGTTTGTTTGAGATGCTGATAAAAAATTGTGTTTGTACAAGGAGTAGTGAAATGCACATTTGAAAACAGAAGCATTTTCAGAGTGGTCTGAGTAAGTTGTACCTAAAGGACAGGCAATAGCTTTGGGCAGTGCTGTTCATTCTTTTCCCCAGTCTTTGGTAAAGCTGTTGTGCACAGCAACGTATTTAACAGGCAGGCAAATACTGGTTTCCTCTAGATCAGCAGCAAAGCAGATCACATTTCTTTTACCACTAAGTTAAATTTCAAATCCATGCATGTTTCATAAATGAAAAAATCCAGCTGCAGTGCTGATTATTGGAGCACACATCTCCAGGCTGGTGTAAGAGCCATGTAAGCACAGCACGTGTGAGCACCTGAGGTGGGGAAGGCTGTTCTGCCTTAGACACACTCCCACGGGATGACAACGGGAAGGGATTCGTTTTCATGTCTGATACTTCAGTTTTGGAGCCTCACTTTTGCTTGAAAACCTCTTTCTGTCTTCATTCCCTTGATCAGTTGTCATGAAGTTTGCGCTCTGGGTGGCCTGGACACCTCTCACCTCTCTGAAAGTTGCTTTTTTGCCCCTTGTGCTGTGCACTGAGCCTGCACCTCTGGGCCCGGGGGCGCCGGAGGAGCCGCCGACGGTAAGTCCGGGGGCAGGGGAGCGGGGTCCCTGCCTCGGGGGCACCTCGCGCCGCCGTGGCATTTCGGACTGAATGCTGAAGGGCAGAGGTGTCTGCCAAGCTGTGAATTGTATAGTCCTATTGTACTCTGAGCATTCGGTCTGTCTAAATTATTTGGTTTGTACCCTTTGAATCTATTATTCCATCAATTCAGTTAGAATTGAATTTTATAGACAATTATGCAGAGTCTCTTCTGCCTGGACAAAATACTTACTGTAGTAAGAGATTTCTGTTCTCTGTAACATGTATCTTTAATTTATTTGGTTTTTTTGTTAGATTCATGTCTGTATGCTTCATGAGCAAACATGAAAAATATGTTCTCACACCAGTTTTCCTTCGGCTTGCACTGAATCCTCCAGTTTATGTCACTATTGCCTGTTGTATAGTCCATCCCTTGTATACTGACAAAGTCAGTGGCACTAAAAACCCCAAGAAATTGTATAGATTAAAAAGAAGAAAAATAAACATTTTGTGCTTGAAAATTGTGTGAAAAACCCAGTGTTTTTCTGAAACATAGAATTGTGTCAATTCCCAGCTGTTTTAGGTAACTCTACCTTTGTTTTCCAGACTATTATTCCTTGACTTGTGTAGAAGGAACAGATGTGGTACCTCCACTCGTTCTCAGGTTCTGCCCATAACTGGCATGGCTCACCTCTTGGCTGCTGTAGAAGTGACATGGTGCTCCAGAAGTCACATAGAGCTACCTCACAGGTCATGTTGCTCAAAATCCTCTGCCCTCTGCAGCATTTCTGGCATTGTGCCACTATGAAACAGAGTGGAATGGGACATGAAGTGGGTTCCTTTGAGCTGATGGTACCTTCAGTATTGCTGGTAGTGCCCATGAGGATGCTGCTAGTGTTTGGTAGGTGATGAAAGAGAAGCTTGGACTGTCTCTTCAGCACTGAAAAGCAATAGGGAAGCCCTTTTCCCTTGATCCTGGAATAATTCAAATGTGAGGAAGCAGAGACACAAAAGTTGGCCCCCATGGCAGCACCCTCTTCGCAGTCATGGTTGTTAGTGTAGGAGAACTTAGGAAGGGGCCTACAGGAAGGGCTTGGTGCTCCTGCTTCTGCGTTCCTGCTGTGTGTGCTGCGGGGGAGCCTGTCCCAGGCTGGGGCTGTGCTGCATGTGCTGAGTGTCCAAGCTGGGCAGGCCCAGGAGAGCCAGGCTACGTGCAGCTACTGCATCTTGAGCTGGTATTGGTCCCTGAGGCTGATGTTTGCATCTTGCTATCCATTGTTTTAATTTTTTGATAGCTGTGTTGGCTGCATTTTGTCCAAGTGTTCACTTCAAACTATGTTTTGTTACCCTCCATTGTTCCCATCATGTCAGAGCAAGCTTGGAGCCTTGGTGGCAATTAAGCAAGTGACATGAATTTAAATAAATGGGACAACTTCGTGAGGAAAGGAGTGAGAGGACCCAAGAGGTCCATGCTGCACCATGGGAGGTGGTGGGTCTCTCCTGTAAAAGACATTCCCCTTCAGATCCCAGAACTGAATTAGATTTATTCCTAACTCTGAATATTGCTTTGATGTGCAGCAAATAGGGTCAAACCAGCTGGGTGGCATTCCTCACCTGCTGGTTGCAGGCCTGCAGCAGTGTCTGTAGCTCTGTCACCTCCTGACCTTCCCAGCACCATTCTGTAAGGACGCATGTGAAGCCAGTACGAATGAATCCTCAGCTTTAAATACAAGGTTCTGATGGGGAAATTCACAGATCCCCTAGTTTTCAATCTTTTAGATGTTTTAGGAGTTTTTCTTTTATTGAAATAATGCTTTGGACTGCCAAGTTGCACACCCGGTATTTTGGAAGTGCCAAATTGCCCATCTGCCCTACATTTGGTTTCCTGATTGCCATAGGCCATGGGGGAGGATCCAAGTGCCTAATATCCTGCTTTCCCACCCCATCCCTGGTTCACATGGAGCAGGGTGGGCAGAAGGAGAGCTGCTGCCAAAGGGGGGGCAAAGTGGGGAGCAGGAGATTATGAGGAGAGACATTTGAGCAGCTTAAGGCTCTTCTGCAAACCCTGATTCAGCCTCCCTGACATGGATGTTTTTATGATGCAGAATTGTCCCTTACAGTTTCTTTATGTGATTCACCCTGGTCTTTATTCCACAGCTTTAAAGAGGAAATATTACTGAACTGTCAATTTACACGTCTCCAAAGTGCTCCCTTTTTGCTCTCTACTGTATAACTCCTTCGCTTTTCTTGCAAGTATTTGACATTGGCTGGTATCCAAGACAAGATGAGGTTTTGAATAAGCTAAATGTGTCAGTCTCTTTGCTTCTACAGATTCATGTTCAGGAGCAGGGCACTCTCATGCTAAATTATAGCATTTCTGAAATAAATTTCTCAGTCAAGCTGAAACTTTTGCCATTTGGTATTTGTGGAAGGAAATCTCTAATACTTTAGAATTGGTCATTAGTTTAACTTGGCTTTGTCAATAGTTGCTGTTTCCCTTCAAGAATTGCTTTTGTGGTTCCCATGCACTATTTTCAATTCCAAGAACATGCAGGATTTTTCCAGCCCAGCCCCATGGTGGATTGGTAGGGCCATGTCAGTATTGTTCAGTTAGTGCATGTTTGAGCTGGAAGAACATCGGTCCCCCTACGTTCTTTGGAACTTCCCTTGGGAGGGTTGTAATCACAAGTCTCTGTTCTGAAATAATTTGACTTCAGCATGGTTTTCCTTGGGTCACCCCTAATGAAGCAAAGGGTTCAAGTGTTTTTGAGTAAGACCAAAGTCTTGAATGGTCACTAATAAGGCAAAAGCCTATGTAGTGTTCTGCCTTTCTCCCAACCAGCCCCCACCTGAGCTGTTCAAAGTGTTGGCTTGGAGACAGAGGTCACAATTGAAATATTTAATGACTGTTGAATGTCTTCGTAAGGATTCCTTCCATTCTCTGGTTCCTTGCTGGCCCTTCCCAGCCCCTGATTTCTGGTACTCTTGAGGAGGAGGATAGCAGTGCTGGAGGGGTATGTGGTGGCTGAATGTGGGCAAGGTCTCTCTACAGAGTACACAAGCAGGTTCATATACTCTTTGCTGTCACTGATAGATTGATATATTGCTATGGGATTGAATTATAAAACAACAAAACCATAATTGTATGGAATTCCTTGCTGTACTACTGGTGATGGATTGAATCCTTGAGGAGCACTTCTTTGACCTGTGGTGTTGGTCTGTGGTTGGCTGGTGCTCAGGTAGGCTGAGCTTCAGTTGAGCATTTGGGCAAGCTCTCTGCTGTGCTGATCCTTGTGATGGTTTTTTCTAAAGGAACCTGGTAAACACTATTATTTTCTTGGCTGTATGCTCCTGAAATGAACCATTGATGAGATGGGAATTGTGTTGGGACTGAAACATGTTGGTGACCTTTGGTGGCACTGCTTTTTGATGGTGGGTCTATTTGTGGAGCCGTCTGGACAGATAAAGCAGGAAGGAGATGTTCCAGCCCTGACTGAGCTGGTTCTTCTGTTAACACAGAGAAGCTCCAGAAGTGCGACATAATGAAATGGATTTTAGGAGCTGTCAGGTTACAAATTTCTGCATTATGAAAAAATTTGTTGCTCAGAGGGAAGTGGATGTACGGCCATGCTAACGTTAGCTGTGTCGGTAAATAGATTACTTGTCACTGACTCATCTGAGAGTCAAGCTTGTACCAGGAGGCAGCAGCTTCTGAAATTACCTGGTCCTTTCTGCTTTTTTGTTTGTGGCTTGTTGGGGTTTTTTTGCAGAGTGATAAATATCTGCTATAACAGTGACATTCTTGTGGCAAGTTCTTGGTTCTTCTAAGTCTGGTGAGCAAGTGAATCTTGGATTAATTTATTTTGATGGAGTACCACTGGGTGGATTCACAGCGTATGTGTAGTGTGTTGTGCTATTCATGCGCTACCAAGGTAGAAGGAAAAGTTAGAGGGTTGTTTTATTGTTTTCCCTCAGAAGAAGCTCCCCTCACATTCCTGAGGCACCACTGAGTGCAGCGATGTCACCATTGCTCTTGGGGAGCTTCTGGTGAGAGGATGGGCATGGAGAGAGCCTCCTCAGCCACTCTTCTTAGGACATTTTGTCTGTTGTAGCTTTTCTGAGATATTCAGCAGTTTGTAAAAACAAGGGAAATTTGATAAGAAAGAACCAGCTGCCAGTCTTTCTCAAACAGGTTTTCCTTAGGTCTGACATAAATACCAAAAAAAAGGTATCTGCAGAATAGCTCATTTTGCCTTATTTTGTTTTCCTGGATGAAATTCCGTGCCAAATGCCGGTTATCAGCAGCAAGCAGATGTTGAGAACAGTGGTGGATTCAGGTGGATCTACAGAAGGGATGTGGATCAGAAGCTGGGGGAAGGAATTGCGATCGAGACATGATTTGATATCCCTTAAAAGCAGTTCTTCCTACAAGCAGGGTCAGAGCAAGAAATACAGGAGGAAATTGGCACCACATGTAATGAAAGCAAAGCCTGAAACAGTGGAGACCCATCAGGATGAGCTATGCCAAGCCCAGATGACATCTGCTTGTACACTGAGCTTTCCCTGATGTCCCTTGCCCTCCTTGCTCTTCTAAAAGACTCTCTGCATTTCTTCTGAAAGCATCTAGCAACCTGGGTGCTGTATGAACCCCTCTGTGCTTGCAGATCCAGGCCAGCCTGCATGGTTCCATGCCGTAGAGCGAAGGGCTTTGGTGCATGTCACTGCGAGCGTGTCACCAGCACAGCCACGTGTCCTGGTGGGGCACGTAGTGGTGGGGCATGTCCCAAGGGATGTGTGGTAGCACCCTGGGTTGCTGCTGCTCCATTCTCTTGCTCTGCTGTCCACACCCTCACCGCATGTTGTCCTGGTGCTGCTGTTGCAAGCTGCTCCGCAGCTCTGTGCTCTCTCGTGTCCCGCAGCCGTCTTGCCCGGTGGTTTGCAGAGGAGGATGGAGGCTGCTGGATCCCACCCCTGCCTTGTGTCCTGCTGGCATGGAGCATGGCACCCCTGCTTCCCAGGGAGGGGGATCCTGGGCTTGGCTCCGTTTCTGTCAGACAAGGGAGCAAGGCCTGGGCTCTGCTGGGAGCGGCTGTGCAGGCTGTGCCCCCAGCCTCCCCCCGTCCCCTCACACACCTGCCGGGGCCCAGGAGCCTCTGCTGCCCTTCCCTGCTCCCGCCGGGGACCAGG